CAGGTCACCCAAGGAAGAGAATGTGCACTACTTTGCAACATGAGTGCATCCCAGGACACATAAAATGTAATGGTTACCTTTGTAATGAACAAATTACCTTTAAATAATCAACTGGCTTTCACAACCTGATTTGGTTTTCTGAATAAAATTTTTCTTTTATACTGGTTTACTTACAAAGTTTATACGCATTGTTTTTTACATTGGATCGTTCTCATTTCCTTTACTCGCCCCTCCCTCCACCCATCAAATTTTGGAACCCTATAATTATCCCCCTGCCCATCTTCACCCTCCCCTCCCCGCATTGGGTCCTCATACATGTTTTACTAGTTTCTATTTCTACAATAATGGTCTTATACTGTATTTGTCCTTATGGTACTGTGTTAGCATAATGCTCCCCAGATCTTCCCAAGTTAGGTAGTGATTTTCAAAATCTTTGTTCCTGCATGCTGGTAGTATTCCATTGTGTGAATCACTCCAGTAGCAAAGTTTAACAGAATAGCAAGTTATAAATGTTGGAGAGGATGTGGAGAGATAGAAACTCTTATACACTGTTGGTTGGACTGCAAAATGGTAGATCCACTCTGGAAGGCCATTTGGCACTTCCTCAAAAACTGAACATAGAGATTTCCATATGACCCAGCTATTCCACTACTTGGAATATACTCTGAGAAAATTAGAAATGAGGCACAAATGGAGACTTATACGCCAGTGTTCATAGCAACCATCGCAAGAACGTGGAAACAGCCCAAACGTCCAACCACAATCAAATGGATTGAGAAATTATGGTACATGATGCTTTCTCTTATCTGCAGGCAGATTTGTTGAAGATGTAGTCATAAGAGGAAATCTACTCATTTTTGTACTATTGTCTGAGAGTAGAGTGGGAATCTGCCAAATTTTTAAGAACTGTCCAGATAGTAAATATGTCACACTTTGCTGGTCCTGCTTTGGTCTCGATTTCTTGTTGTTTTCTTTCTTTGTAGCTGTTTTTCAGCCTTTTAAAAATTTAAAAACCATTCTAAGTTTGGATGAAGAGGATGGTCACAGTGTGTAGAAGGAGTTATCCTGTAGGCAGAGTTCTGACACCTGCTCTAGAGTTTAGCATGAGGGCAGTGAGGCCCAGAGCAGAGCACAGGGAATGAGGCCTATTTCAGTAAACAACCCAAAGTCACTGTAATATCCTTCAGCTCACCACTGAGGCCCAATGAGGCCCATTACCAGAACCATTAGCCAGGTTTCCATCACACCACATCACCCCATGTGTGGAGTTGATTTAGGCGATGCTAGTTGTTGTTGTTGTTAGGTGTCATAGAGTTGACTACAACTCTATGAACAATGATTCTGAGCCTTGCCCTAGCCTGATATCACTGATATCCTTCAACCCATTGCTACAGATGCTGTGTCAATCCATCTCTCAAAGGTCTTCTTACTCGCTTACTCTTCACCTTTCCCACATCAAGTCCTCTTCCAAGGACTGGCCCCTCCTGACAACAAGTCCAAAGGATATGAGATGAAGTTTTACCCTCCTTGTTTCCAAGGTTTCCCTCTCTGCCCAAGACATAATTATTTTTGCTGTCCATAGGATAGTAAGTGTTCTTCTCTAACCCCACAACTCAATGGCATCGATTCTCCTTCCATCATCCTTATTCACAGTATTTCCCTACCACACTTGCTGCTCAGGAGTTTCTGGAATGACTGGTGGCTGAAGGGGTATCTGCAGTACAGTCTGCAAGGAGGTGGTGCAATCCACATTCCATGCTTTCTTCTGGAGTTCTCTTTGAAGTTCCCTCTACAGAGAGGTTCCCACAACTAGGAACTGTGCGAGCCTCAAACACTCTACTCTATGGGCTTCTCCCTCTGTGTTTAGTACTTACCTGCACTGGTACATTTTGCCTTTTAATTATAAAGTGGGAGTGGTTCTGAGAGGTTCACATTCAAATGTGAACAGGAGAGCTGGGCAGATACCTAAGAACAGGGAGGGAGGACTGGCACTGTGAATTCAAGGATTCTCTTTCTCTCGACTTCTCTACCCTTTCTCCATACAACGCAAATTTCCCGAGATCTTCCTCTTCATCTTTTTTCAGGGGATAACTGAGGAGCTTATCCCTCCTACTTCATAACACATTGGTCCATCTGGTTAAGAATGGTATGGAGATGGTGTCCGACCACTAACTTCATGATGGAAGAAGGGAATCATTTCCAGCATTCTCTACCCAAAGATGGCTGCAACTAGGCAGAAGTCAGCTCTAGCAGCCTAGTGGTAAGACACTGTACTGCAATCCCAAAAGCATGCAGTTCAAATCCACCAGCTGCTCCACACGAGTGGGCACTCTCTTCCCATGTGATTTACTGCCTCTGAAAACCTGCTGGAGGTTCAACTCTGGGTCACTTTTGACTCAATGGCATACAACAACAGGCAGAAGTCAGGCATACCTCCTCTCATCAACCTTTTTACCAATTCTCTGCTGGGTACAAAAATTCATTGCGATGCCTCAGAGAACCAACAGATCTTACTAGCAGTTATGGAGTTTGTTAGGGGGGTAATAATTCAGGTTCAGAATGTTCAGTCGGTACAGCCTCCTCCCCACCAATCCTACAGGCAAGCTTCTCTCTGACCTTGAGCCTCTTGGACTGGCCTCCACCTACTCAAGAAAGTATGCCAAAGCCCTCTTATCACCATCGTCCAATGTTCAGAGGCACCCACTTCACCAGCAAGCCTTTTGAATAAAGCTATTCCAGTTTCTTACTCCTTGTCTGCTGATGTGGCTGCCTTTGCTGCCACCATTGTTTTGCTGCTGTTTCTTCCTATCTTGTGCCACCTTCAGTATTACAACTCTGTCTGTGTGGGTCTAGGAAGTTCCCCATGCAGGACTCCCAGCACAAAAGGACACACTCCACATCTAGCATTTCTTCCTGGTAATGGTGCTGAGGCCCCCACCCCACTTCACCTCTGCGATGGCTCATTTGAAGTCTTGCAGGTTGGCAAAACTGACCTTGTCAATGTTCCATATGTTTTATTTGCCCATCCTTACCTACCTCCCTCCCCCCACACACATTCAAACAATCTCACAAAAAGAAATTCATTCATTATGACTGTGGTCTGGTGCATGGCAGACATTGTGAGGATGGCACAGAGAAAGGCAGTACTCTGATCTGTTGTTCTTCACAAGGCCCCCATGAAACATATCTTTCTCAATTTTAAACAATTCCTTGGTCTAGGTATAGACTTCACATGAAAATAATAAAGTGTTATGGGATTTCCAACCTTCTCAATGTTAGCCGTAAGCTGTCATGATCCACACAGTCAAATGCTTTTGCATAGTCACTAAAACACAAGTAAACATCATCTGGCTTTCTCTGCTTTTAGCCAACATCTGTCTGACATCAGCAATGTTGTCCCTCATGCCACAGCCTTTTCTAAATACAGCTTGAATTCCTGGCAGTTCTCTATACTGTTCTAGCTGGTTTTGAATGATCTCCAGCAGCATTTTGCTTGTATGTTATATTAGTAGATAGTTCCACAGTGTTGGATCATTTTGTCCCTGAGGGTCACTATAAATTGGAATTGACTCAGAGGCAATGCCTTTGGTTTGGCTAGGTTTGGTTTGGTTTGGTCTGGTCTGGTTTTGGTTTGGTATATATACATGCATTCTTCATTTACTGCCATTGTTATGTAGCAATAACCAGATGGTTATGGTGGATGATGTAATGAAGACTATATCATTACATCATTATCAAATTACAACATTACACAAATGTCAGGTGGCATCTTTATATAACTGCCAATTTGCTGAGAATCATGGCCCAGTCAAAATGACACATAACCTTAACCACCACCATAAGCATTACTCTCTCACATTGGACCTCAGAATCCATTACTTCCAGACATAAATCATCAATGCACACAATAATATCACCTACACTGAACGCTCCAAGATGCTGAGGAGCAGCCATTTACATTTAAAGACAAAGGTGTGCCTGATTCAAGTCAGGGTCTTTTCAATTAAGTGCTATACATCTGACAGTTGGACAATGAATAAGGATGACAAAAGAATAATCAATGCCTTTGAGCTGTGGTTTTGAAGAAGAGTCCTGAATATCCCATGGACTGCCAAAAGAACGAATGTGTCTTGAAGAAAGTGCAACCAGAGTATTCTTTAGAGGCAAGAATGATGAAATTTTGTTTCAATACTTTAGGCATGTTGTTAGGAGGGGCCAGTACTTGGAAAAAGACATCATGCTGGGAAAGGTGGAGGTCAGAGAAAGAGAGGAAGACCCTCAACAATCTGGATCGACACAAAGACTGTAGCAATAGGCTCGAGTATATTAGGGATGGTGAGGATGATGCAGGATAGGGTAGGATTCAGATCTCTTGTTTACAGGGTCGCTACCAGTCGTGAACCGAATAACAACCTAATAGAGTTAGGGACCTCTGATAGGCTGGTGGTAAGGAGTTTTGCTGCCAACCCAAAGGCACTAGGTTCAAATCCATTAGCTGCTTGGCAAGAGAAAGATGCATGATTTCTCCAGGGTGATTTACTGCCTCTCAAAAACTGCTGGAAGACCACCTATGAGTCGGTTCCGACTTTACGCTAAATGGTGTTGAGTGACCTGACAGTTGTTGCAAGGATTTACTATACACTTTGGAAAGTGAGTAAAGGGCACATAGCAAACCCTGGATAAATGCCCAATTACAAAAAAATTATGGTTTTAACAACGGGGGAAAGTTTCTTCTGTGCTTAATAAAGAAATACCTTGTGTTAAATACCTTAGGTCGGCTACCTCGGAGAAGGCGTGCTCCCGAAGGAGCAGGGGCTGCCTCTGGCCAACATTATCTTCACTCTCTAAGATGCTCGCCCCCTTTAAGACTGGCGCCATGACATCATCCCGACGTGGTGCAGCCTACCTTGACAGCACCAGGTGGCGGTTTCCGGGCCGCTTCAATTGGCTGGCGGGCAGCAGAGGCCCTTCCCCTCCCCCGCCCCGTTGGGGGAGCTCGGGTCAGTCCGCCCAAGTGGGAGCTGGATTGGCCGTCGGGACCGCCTTCCGGAGAGGCCGCGGGGCGCGCGTAGGCTGCGCGGCTCGAGTGGGAGGGGCGCGGCGCAGTGTGGAGCCGCCGCAGTACCCACCCGGCCGCTGGTCACTGCTGCAGCCCGCCGGCTGGGCAGGGCCGGCCCGGCCCGGCCATGGAGTCCTACGACATCATTGCCAACCAGCCGGTGGTGATCGACAACGTGAGGCCTGGAGTCGGGGGAGGGCGGGCGCACGCGGCGGCACCGGGAGGGATCCTTTCGTCCCTGGTGGTCATCCGCCCCCAGCTGGTCCTGGATCCGGGCCTAGGGCCATCTAATCGCCAGCGCCGCAGAGTCTCGGGCCCAGGTCCTCCTCAGCCAGGCGGGGGTTCCCTCTGTCGCTAGGTCCTCGATCAGCATCTCGCGTGGACTGCAGGACCGTCTGGCACCTGCTCTTGCGTGACAGGCCAAGGGACGCGCCCCGAACTTTTGAGAGTGGGATATCTGCACAGAGTCTTCCTCGAACCCTGAGCTCTAGCTGCCCTGCTTGGTAGAGTGGGAACCGTTTCCCCTTTTGCACCCTGGGATTTTAGGAGGGACTGCTCTAGTGACCTCGACAGGTCCTAGGTGGCTGCTCCCTAGGGCAGAGCAGGACTTGCAGAGCACACAAGCCCCGATCCCATCTTGTAGCAAAGATTGCGATTCTTTCATTATCCCACGTATCCACAAACCCCTGGCTCCCTTCTTGTTCCTTTTAATTCCCTCCATAAACCTTCTGAGCAGAAAGGCCACCGCCAGCACACCAGTGCGTAGTTCAGTGCCATGGTTGGCAGGACTGAGAAGCAGTTTGGGGCAGTTGGAACCTGCAGAACGAAGATGCCTGCTTCCTTGTGACCTTATAACCTTCCAGCTGTTTGGAAGCTCCTTGGAAGGGTCTCTTGCCACAGAGCTAGGCCATGGAAGATAAGGGTCTTTAGCAGGATACCTGAGTACCATGTGAACCTTGCATGTTTTGATAACTCACTTCTATTCTTTCTCCCACATGATCACCTGGGGCCCCTCAGTGACAGGCTTTGGGGAGTATTTATGTGGATGGAGGTTATGTTTCATGCTGCAATTGGGTTTGGGGATGTGTGCTGCTTTGACAGGTGAATCAGACCAGCCAAGCCTGAGAAAAGGGGACAGCTCTCCTCTGTATCTTGGATATGTTTATTTCTGCACTGTAGGCCCAAATGGTTGGGGTGAAGATCAGTGGCGGGCCAGTGGAGAAGCTGATGTTTTCACTGAGTGGGAGGTCTCTAGATGCTAGATTCTTTTTAAGAGAGCCTTGGTGGCTTAGTGGTAAGGAGCTATGCTGCCAATGCAAAGGCACACAGTTCAAATCCAACAGCTGCCCCACGACAGGAGAAGGATGAGCACCCAACTTCCCTGCTGTTCACTGCGTAGGTTCCGACTTGAGGGTACATAACAACAACAACAGATTTTTTTTTTTTTTGATCCTAAGACTGGCTTCCACATGGAGCAGAGGCAGGCCAAGTTCTCTTTGTAAGTTTCTGAGGAAGCCAACTTGAGAGTCCTGGGTGTAGGGCCTGAGGTGGGCTTGGACTGTTGGACACAATACTGAGGATATCTCACCAGCTTTGGAACATTGCTGTTGCTCCAAGGTCTTCGTGCCTGGAGCTGACCCCATAGTGTGCTGAGGAGGGTACATCTTTTCTCAGCCTTGGTGCTAATGGCATCCTGGGCTGTGAGGAGCTGCCCTATGCACTGTAGGATTTCTCATGTCCTCTCCTAAGTGCTGACAGCTAAAGATGTCTGCAGTCACTGCCATATATCCCTAGCGGGGGACAGGGCAAAGCCACCCTAACCTTTAAACCACTGGTGCACTTCTAAATGTCCTGCCCCTTGCAGTCTCTGGCTTCCTCACAGCCCAGGTAAGGTGGCCACAGTAAGGTTCTGCCTTTTTCTGGGAAAAGTCAGGAGCTAAATGTTGTATTTCCTTGCAGGGCTCAGGTGTGATCAAGGCTGGCTTTGCGGGAGACCAGATCCCCAAGTACTGTTTCCCAAACTAGTAAGTGTTGCTCAGGCAGCAGCTCCAACCCTTTTGTTTGCTTCCGAAGAGAACACTGACACTCCTCTAGCTCTCTCCTTGGACGGCTGACTCTGCCCCCACCTGTAAGGAAAACACCAGATTTTGAAGGTAGCATCTAAGGGCTCTGAACAGGGGATAAGCCTGCCTGGCCGTGGATTGGACCTCTCCCTCCTTTCTGTGGTAGCTCATCCTCCTGTTGGCCTAGAGCCAGAGAGGAGAAGCCAGCAGCCTTGCCCTGGGGACTAGGTGTGGCCTCTGCCTCCAGTGCAGTGGGAGGGAACTCCTGGAAAGGTTTTCTCTAGGGCTTCTTTATTTTCAGACCTCAGAAAATGTTTCACTCAAGCGTACCTTTTCCTGAATGATGCTGGTGGTGGCAGGAATACAAGAGCCTAGAGTTCTGCTTTAGCCATTCTAGCTCATTGGGGAAATTTCTTTTAGGAATACTTCTTCCTGATCCTACAGGCCACAGAGTTGATCACTACATCATGACCATAAGCCCTAACTGAGGACAGAGACAACACTTAATAGGGCTTCGTGTTTCCTTCCCAAACTCTATCTGGGTGTAATTAAAGTACCTTTTTAATGTGTGAGGAACTTCAGTTAAAATTTTGGAATGGTAGTAGCGCATTAGATCTTACTATTTTCAACAATTGAATCTATATTCTGGAAGCTCTGTCAGAGGAAAAGGTAGTATTGACTGAGCGAGAAAGGGACACACAAGGAAAATATGACCAACTTCGGGAGAGTCTTCTGCCTTAGTCTTGGTGTGCAGAGGGCAAGGGCAGCCCTATCCTCTTACGTCCAGAGTGCATGCTGAGTCATTACTGCCCCTGCATGCTGACCCTCTGCCAGGGCTGGGCCTGCCATGAGGTCTGGGGTGAGGAGTGTAAACATTCAGTTTTGTCTGGGAAGGAGGGGCAAGTCATGAAAGATCTCTTTCTTGCCCTGGGCCTGCCCATCCTGCCATGGCCCACGGGCCCTGGTCCTAGTCAGTGGCCCCCCTGCATCATCCTTATGCACTGCAGGACAGTTAGCCCCCCAGTTGTTGGGAGTGGACTGTGCGTTCTGGACCTGGGCTCACCTAGTACCTCTCCCCACCTTCCTGGCTGTCTGTCCTTCAGTGTCGGCCGCCCCAAACACATGCGTGTGATGGCTGGAGCTCTGGAGGGGGACCTCTTCATTGGACCAAAAGCAGAGGTAACACCTGTGGAGTCTGCCTGTCCTGAGTTTGGGTTCCTCTTGAGCATAGGAGCTCGTGGCCAGGCCACACCTCCAAGAAGGGCCCTGGCAACCTGTTCTCTGGCTGTCACTTCTGGACTTCTCATTTTGGCTCCAGCATGGAGCTGCCCATGCTGTCTGCACTCTGTTACTTTCTGGTGTGAGGTGGAGGTGATAGATCCTGTTTAGGAGAACACACTTGGATCAGTTGGAGTTGACCATGTGAAGTCCCCGTGGTACTAACATGATCACTATCAAGAGAGTGGTGAAGATGGAAGTGTGCAGTGTGGAAGGACAGTGGGAGAGAACAAGCTGGCATTTGAGTATAGAGAACCCCCAGAAACATGGCCGTAAAAGGAGAGAAAGGGGTGTTCAGAGGAGTGGGAGGCTGTAGGATGAGAGGGAACATGCATCCACACTAGCTGGCCCTCAGCCAGTTGAAGCCAGCAGCCCTGTGCAGAGTATGGGGACATCCACTAAGTGGTGGTGTGTGCTTTCTAGACAAAACCAAACTGTAGCTGACCGTCTAGCAGGTTTTCAAAGGTAGTAATTGCATGGGAGGAGATTGCCCATCTTTTTCTAGTGGTGCCACTGGTGAATTCTAACTGCATGCATTTGGGTTGGCAGCACAACTCCTTAGGACTAAGTCACCAAAGCTCCGAGTAAGTACTAGGTGGTTATACTTAAGGGTGAGTTAAAAGGGCAACTGCCATGAAAGCAGAGAGCAGATCCTCTTGAGGGACTTGATGCCACCTCTAGCCATTCCTTCCTGCTAGGAACACCGAGGCCTGCTGACCATCCGCTACCCCATGGAGCATGGCGTGGTACGAGACTGGAATGACATGGAGCGCATCTGGCAGTACGTCTACTCCAAGGATCAGCTGCAGACCTTCTCCGAGGAGGTGTGGCCCCAGACCCTGCCAGCCTGGCAGAGTCCTCTCAGCTGGACCCCTTCTTGCTTCCACTTCCTGTACACCTAGGCTTTCACATTTCCTTGGGCATCCTAACCCTTTTTAGTGTATGCACATAGTCGCTGACCGCCAGGCAGAATTTCCCACGGAGAGCTGGGCCTTTGGGAGATTAGCTGGTGGCAGAGGGTGGTCTTGTGAACCTGCATATACTCAGACCCAGGGGTTTTCACTCTGAAGCGATTCCTTTAGCATCTAGTATGTCCTCTTGACATATGCCCACAACTCTGCCATCTTTGTAGCATCCTGTTCTTCTAACGGAGGCTCCACTCAACCCAAGTAAGAACAGAGAGAAGGCAGCAGAAGTGTTCTTTGAGACTTTCAACGTGCCGGCCCTGTTCATCTCCATGCAGGCCGTGCTCAGTCTGTGAGTGCCCCAAAGCCCCCAGGGCGGCCTGCGTGGGACCCTGAGTCCATATCTGCCTAGCAGACATGACCAGTCGTCTTACTTCTCTGTGCCTGTTCCTTTAGGAAGTCACATCTGTCCCTTCTTCAGACTAGATAGCGCGGGTGCCCCGGGGGTCCTTCCAGGGATGAGGAAGGCCCTGTTTCTTGGTGGAAAGGTGAGGGGACACTAACTTGGTGACAGGTACGCCACAGGACGCACAACAGGAGTGGTTTTAGACTCGGGAGATGGAGTCACTCATGCTGTCCCCATCTATGAGGGCTTCGCCATGCCACACTCCATTATGCGGGTGGACATTGCTGGCCGAGATGTATCCCGGTATCTCCGGCTGCTGCTGCGCAAGGAAGGTGTTGACTTTCACACCTCAGCTGAATTTGAAGTTGTCCGGACCATCAAGGAGGTGACCCAGGGTGGGGATGCATGAACGGGACCAGGAGTGAGGAGGGAAATGGAGAGCCTCGATGTGGTAGGTTTCCCGTCGCAGCCTTTTGAGGGTTGTATCCCTGCCTCTCACAGCGAGCCTGCTACCTGTCCATCAATCCACAGAAGGATGAAGCTCTAGAGACAGAGAAAGTGCAGTACACCTTGCCAGACGGTAGCACACTCGATGTAAGTGCCTGGGGCTGGCACCTGGGCGTGGGGTCTGGAGGACAAGGAGGCTGGCTGGCAGCTTTGGGAAGCTTGTCAGCCACAGTTGTGTGTTCACAGGTGGGACCCGCACGGTTCCGAGCCGCTGAGCTGTTGTTCCAGCCAGACCTAGTGGGGGATGAGAGTGAGGGGCTTCATGAGGTACTGGCCTTTGCCATCCACAAGTCTGACGTGGACCTCCGCCGGACACTCTTTGCCAACATCGTGCTTTCGGGGGGTTCAACGCTTTTCAAAGGTACTGTTGAGGGAGGTTGGGTGGGAGGGCGTGGAGACCCCTGCCCCACTTCTTGGAGGCTCAGATATGGCCCTTTCCTTGGTGGGTTTTGATTTGCCAGGAGTAATTTTTTTAAAAGTACTTTTGGCATGTTGGAAGTGGCTTTTATCTTTAATTTGTGAACAAGCAGTATGTTCACACACATTCTGAAATTTGAAAAACCTTAACAAGTCTCTCCAGCCAGCCGCCAGCTTTCTTCCCTAGGAGTTACTGATTTCTCACATATCAGCACTGTTGTTATTTTTGTTGTTGTTATGTGCCATCGGGTCAACACCAACTCATAGTTGACCCTCCAGTGGGTTTTCAGAGGCAGTAAGCATGTGATTGCCCATCTTTCTCCCCCCCCAGAGCAGCTGGTAGATTTGAACCGAAAGGTGGAGGGCTGGAGAAGGAGAGGAAGACTCTCAGCCCGATGATTGACACAGTGACTGCAGCAGTGGGCCTGAGTGGCCAAAGATAGTGAGGATGGCACAGGATAGGACAGGGTTCAGACCTGTTGGTTATAGGTCACTGTGAATCATTCTTGACAGCACCTAATAATAATACTACTTTTTTGGGGGTTGGCAGCACAACTTCTTACCACTAAGCCATCAGGGCCCCCTTTCAGCAGTGTTATCACTGTGCCGTTGAGTCACAACCAACCCATAACTGACCTTTCAGTTGGTTTTGAGAGGCAGTAAACTGCATAAAAGGAGACTGCCCATCTTTCTCCCATAGAACAGCTGGTGGATTCAAACCACATGACTTTGAGATTGTAGCACATCTTCTCACGACAAAGCCCTCAGAACTCCTTTTCTGTAATAGTCTGTATATAGGTGCTAAGCAAACAAACATATGTCCTCTTCTCATTTGCAAACATTGGAGGACACTACAAGTTGTGCACTATGGGTTTTTTCCTACTTAGCAGTGTGTCTTGAAGCTCTTTCCCCATCAGTTTTCAGTGAGTAGCTTTTAGGTTTTTTTATGGCAGTGTAGTTTTTTTCACTGAATGGGTGGACTTTTGAATGGTGTTCTGGTGAGAACCTTTGGGATGGTGGTGATTCTGATCACAAGATGCTGCAGTGTGAAATCCTATTAATAGATCAGCAGAGGAGTTGAATTCCCTCCCAGGCAGTGCACATACCCAGTTATGGGTGAGTTTCCTCACACTGTCTTTATAGTGTTTGCTGTTCTGATGGGTAAAGAACAGCAAATGTTTTCTCCTGATTTGTATTTTACTTTGTTTGTGGTGGTGTTAGGTCCTCAGTGAGGACAAGTATAATGAGTCAGACTGTGTGACTTGCGGGATAATCTCAAGTTGCCCTGAAGAAGCCAAGCCCACCTCCAGCCATGGGGCTGGCCCTTCCCTTCCCTTGGACAGCTCACCCTTTGCTTAATGCTGGAAAGGTCTGTTAACGTTCTTCAGCAGTTGAGTAAAGCTGGATGAGGGCACCAAGACTGGCAGTAAGAGAGCTACAGGCAAGGAAGTGGGAAGTCAACCACAGGCTTTACCAGGCTTGCGTTCACAGGTTTTGGCGACCGATTACTAAGTGAAGTGAAGAAGCTTGCCCCAAAGGATGTGAAGATCAAGGTGAGGTCCCAAGAGTCCTCTTTGGGAACAGAGATGCTGAACCACCAGCCCCGGGACCCATCTCACCTGGCCTACTCAGCCCTGCTTCTCCCCTTCCGTTTATCCCAGCGGCTATACTTGCCATCCACCTGGTCACTGTGGGAAATACCCCATGGCAGCTGCTGTGTGCAGGGTGGGGCAGTTATATGGATGTTTCCTTCTAGATCTCGGCCCCTCAGGAGCGGCTGTATTCCACGTGGATTGGGTGAGGCCAGGCTCAAGGGGAGGGCTCTGGGTTGGCCCCACACAGATGGTGTTGGGAGGAGTTCCCTTCCAGGTAAGGGAAGCGGAACTCCCAAGCATGAGATTGGCTCAGAACACAGGTCCTCAAGAATAATGTCCCTCCTTCCTGACAGTGGTTCCATCTTGGCTTCGCTGGACACATTTAAGAAAATGTGGGTAGCCAAAAAGGAATATGAAGAGGACGGCTCCCGTGCTATTCATCGCAAGACCTTCTAGTGCCCATGAAGGATGTAGGAAGAATGGGAGGAAAGGGCAGCCAGTGCCTTTAACCCCTTCCGGTCTGGGCTCACATACTAGGCATAGGGCCTCCTGCATGCCCTGAACCCCCAGCAGGTGAGGCAGCCCTGCTCCCTGCCACCTTCCCCTTCGCACACACACACCGTGTTGACGTTTAGCTTTATGGATGGGATTCTTGAGCTGGAACGCAGAAATTGAGGAGCTCAACTTTGGGGTGTACTCCATGGCAGGGTCAATTAGGCCTCTGGTCTCTTGCTCTGACCCTCGTGGGGGCTGCTGCACTGTATCTCCAGACCAGGCACCTCACCATCGCCACCTCCTCTGTCAGGATCTGATCCCTCAGGGCCAGGGTATCTGGAGACCTCTTTCTCTCCTTGGGGAGTGGGGTCAAAGAGGAGGTGAGTGGTAGCACCCCAGTGACACATCATTGCTTCTCATCAGCTCAGAGCTATTTGTGTTCCTCTTCCTGACCCAGCTGGGTAGCCTCCGGGCCCCACCTAAGCCATGCCTAAATATCAGGCCATCTTCTACCCCAGCAAAGGTGCCTGGCCCAGGGTCAGACCTCTGGGACCGAGGGCAGAGTTTGTCCAGGGACCAGGCAGTCACAGTTCATTGCGCTCTCCCCTGCAAAGCATGTCACAGACCTGCTCTTCCCTGCCCCCCTTTACCCCTAGTACCCTGGACAGAAAAGGGTTAATGGTCTTCGTTTATTGAAGGGAAGCCACTTTATCCTGAGTCTAGAGAAGGGGAGAATTCCCTCCTCCCCTGCAAGAACCAGGTCTACACAACCTATAATCAGACCCCCATCACCTCTACCACAAGCCTATCCCTTCCCCGCCGCCCCGATAATGTACCATAATTTAACACAGTTGCTTGAAAAGAATTTTTTTTAAAATCATTATAGTCATAATTATGGACAAAGCCCAAACGTGTGGCTCTGTTTTCTTGCGCTTCTCGGTGCTCCTGTTTGATCTTCCATTCTCAGAGGGGCATGGCACCTGCTGGCTCAGCCCTGTGGGTTAGTGGTTGGCCAGGCAATGTGGCACAGCAGGCCCCAGGGGATTCGGCTCTGAGCTGGCACAGTTCCCCAGCCTCATTTCCCTCCGGAGAAGGGTGAGAGCTCAGCCTCGTCAGGCTGCCTGCATGTATGTACCAGGCAGGGAGGGCCCGGCACACCTGTGACATCATTCTGTTCAGGTCCCTCTGTGTGTCCAGCTCAGAGTGGACCAAGGCTAACAGCAGGAATCAATGCAGGCTTTTCAATTCAGACCAGTCAGGCAGGGGAGAAGATGGACAGCAAGGCTACCGAGACGAGCTGGCCTCTGAAGAAGGCAAGGGCAGGGAGCCAGAGGGACCAGCGAGAAACAGGAGCGTTCGAAAAACTTGCTTTCCTTCCTTAAACATTTGAGTACTTACAGTGTGTTCAGGAGGGTGTCAAGTGTATATAGTCTTTACCCCAACAAACTTACGTGTAAAGGAAGAAAGACAAATGGTTCCTTTGATGACAGTTACAGGGGTCAAGAGGAAGGAGCGCTAACTGAGCAGGTGGGGTGGGTGGGTCAGGAGAAAGGTACTGCAGGCAGAGGCAGGAGGAGATCTGGGACCTGTGAGGCTGACCTCTGAGGCTGAGTGATGGCCAGACAGCAGGGAAAGGTGCGTGCTGCTGTTGGGTTGTAAATACGAAACAGCAAAGGTAGATCAGAACCATCATGTGGAAGGCTTATAGCTTTGTCCTAGCTAATGGATGGCTAGCCAAGGGAAGAGAGTAGTCAAATTGGAAGGGGTTTGGCAGGGCCCCAAATCAAGTAACTAAGGTAAGAGGGAAAAGAACACAATCAGGACTGCTCTGCATCAAGTTTTTGTTTTGTGACATTTTTTTATTGGTTTACTTAAAGAGTTCACGCATGTTGTGTTTCACAAGTAGTGTTTTGAAGTTCTGTGTTTGTGCTATAAAGGAGGGAGACAGTTCATATAGCCCCTCATTTGGGTGCCCCTAGATCAGCTCTTCCTCCAGGTTCTGTTCATGTACCATGTTCTCCCACCCTTGCAGGCTGTAAACCGCATTGTTTCTCATTCTGCCAGTACCTACTCTAGCAGGTCTCAGATGTATTGGTTTGGTCCCACCCATTCTTTCCCATGATCCATTTGACCACCATAGCTCATAACCACATCTCCATCCTACCACAGTGCCTTTGCTTGAGGGTCTACATGCTGGTAACCTTAGTTCTCTTCCACTTGTTGCTCTAAAATATCCAGTAGTTTTCCATTGTCGATGATACTGGGAAAATCACCGTCATGAACTGCATGTTGTTTTACATTGGATTAAGGCCTTTGGAGATATGTTCCTTCCCTTCTTAATCTTATGCATCATTGTGCCCTGATTTGCCTTCATGTCTTCTCATGCTGTTCTTTTTCCTGGAGATACCCCAAAGTTGCGTCCTTTTAAGGCAAAGCACAAGGCAACATCCCTTCAAGTCTTCCAGCTAGGAGGGCTTGTTTACTCAGGTTTTACTAAGTTTCTTACTTGAAAGAAAGATCCTGATGAGTAAGGCTAGAATGAACTTGGATTGGTGTTGAATTAGAGATAGCAGTGTAAACTCAAAGTGTTTAATGCAGATGCAGATAAATAACTGTAGTATAAATATTGAACACTGAAAGATGACTACCATATGAGTACAAAGGACAATATATTCCCTTGCAGTGTCTACTGAGAAGGTGTAGAACAGTGACACCCCTGTAGCTACAAGCACATGTAGCGTCATGATCTTGGTTCCTATGTTCCATAAATAAAAGGAACAGAACTCCTTGGAGAAACTGTTGTTGTTATGTGCCGTCGAGTTGCTTGTGACTCAGAGCAACCCTATGTACAACAGCCCTGAACTCTGTCCTGTGCCAATCGCATTGTCTCTGATAAACCCATCCCAATTACCCCAGTCACAGAATCAATCCACCTCATAGAGGGCCTTCCTCTCCTGCACTGTCCCTCCACCCTCCCAAGCATGATGTCCTTCTCCAAGGATCTGTCCCTCCTTACAACATGTTCAAAGTATGTTAGACGAAGCTTCAGAATCCTTGCCTCCAAGGAGCAGCCTGGTTTAACCCTTTCCAAGATGACTCTTTTCCTAACAGTCTGTGGTACCCTCAGTACTCTTCTCCAGCACCACAGCTCAAAGGAATCATTTCTCCTATCCTCTCTGTTGTTGTTGTTGTTATGTGCCGTCGAGTCGTTTGCGACTCATAGCGACCCTATGCACAACAGCCCTAAACTCTCTCCTGTGCCAACCGCACTGCCTCTGACACATCCATCCTGATTACCCCAGTCACAGAATACCATGGCAGTCCATGGTACATTCAGTACTCTTCTCCAGCACCAGAGCTCAAAGGCATCAACTGTCCTTCTGTCCTCTCTAGTCATTGTCCAACTCTGATGCATAACAAGCAATTGCAAAGACCATGGCCTGTATCAGGCGCACCTTAGTCTCCAGAGAGACAC